AAGTCCACGAGTCATGAGGGGGTCATAGTTCCCCCATGCTGGCTGAGGAATTCTGGGAGTTGAAGTCCACCAGTCATGAAGGGGGCCATAGTTCCCCCATGCTGGCTGAGGAATTCTGGGAGTTGAATTCCACGAGTCATGAGGGGGTCATAGTTCCCCCATGCTGGCTGAGGAATTCTGGGAGTTGAAGTCCACGAGTCATAAAAGAGCCAAGGTTGACTACCCCTGGGCTAGTGGAAAGAACCAAGGATTAGGAATTGATTATGTATTACGTTTTCACGCTGGTTGAAAAATTAACGCATGTACAGTATGTAAGAGAAAAACTAATAAAATCCTTGTTAAAAAAAACTGGGGTTGTGATAAATAACATATCCATCCACTCTTACCTTGAGAACAAAGCTGATGTGAGTTGTGTAGACAACCGGTTTTTCTGCCACTTCGTACACAATATAGCCAATATTCCCAATAGGTTTCTTTGCTATGAAAGATACACATTGCATTAAAATATAGTTCCATCAAGCAGTTTCTCCAACCAAATATAACTCCTGGGCTTCCCAGAAGACCCTACGGTATTTCTGCCAGTGAGAACTTAGCTAAAAACACAAACTGGTGTTTGCAAGACTATAGGGCAACCAGGTCCATGCTAGCCATAAATCGTTGCTTGTAAACCACTGCGGCAGGATTCACACAAGACACTAAGCTAAATCACCGGAAGTTGAATGTTGGGTGACTTTAGCCCAAGGGTCCTCACCCTTGGCCCTTTTATGACTTGTGGACTTCAACTCCCAGAATTCCTGGCTGAGGAATTCTGGGAGTTGAAGTCCACAAGTCATCAAAGGCTCATAGTTCCCTCAGACTGGCTGAGGAATTTTGGGAGTTGAAGTCCACCAGTCATAAAAGGGTCCTAGTTCCCTCACGCTGGCGGAGGAATTCTGGGAGTTGAAGTCCATAGGACATAAAAGAGTCATAGTTCCCTCACGCTGGCTGAGAAATTCTGGGAGTTGAAGTCCACAAGTCATAAAAGGGCCAAGTTTGAAGACTCCTGCTTTAGCCAATACAGGTAGTTTTCAACTTTCAAACAGTTCGTTTAGTGACTGTTCAAAGTTACAACAGCGCTGGAAAGGGGGCCATATGATCGTTTTCCACACTTACGACCGTGGCAGCTTCCCCGTGGTCATGTGATTAAAATTCAGACGCTTGGCAAAGGACTCATTTATGAGCTTCTGACCAGCAAAGTTAATGGGGAAGCCAGATTCACTTAATGACCATGTGACCCACTTAACAGCTGTAGGGATTCAATTAACAATAGTGTGTCAAGAAAGGTCGTAAAGTGGGGCAAAACTCCCTTAACAAATGTCAAGCTTAGCGACGGAAATGTTGGGCTGCATTTGCAGCATCTTCAGAGCTAGCTATGTCTGAACTCTGGACAGTGAGATGGGTGACTTACGGATTTAATCAATGAGTAAACGATACATAAAATAAATAATAAATGTTAATACATAAAATAAAACCCGGGCTCTCTTGAAAGGAGGGCGCAGTGGCCGTTGTGGCTGCATGAACAAACCAAGATCAGCCCCAATGGCCATGTGACCAGGATGTCCAGTGGAGAAACTTGGAGAAACTAGAGGGACTCCAGCTACAATATTCTGAGATATTTGGGTTGTTGAAGAAGAACCAAAGATGTTCTTGATGGATTCTCATGGGTGATTCTCTGATTTTGGTTCAAGAAAACATTTGGTTCAAGAAAACATTTCAAGCAAGTGAGCTTGCTTGAATTCTATGTAAGAACATCTCCGGCCACCAAGTCAATAAACCAAGATCGCTAAAGTTTAGGAAGAAACTGCTTGGGGTTTTAGTTTCTTGATTGCTTATCCAATCTTCCAAAAGTTGACTGGATCCAACACTCTTATTTCATCTTAGAGGACATCCCAAGTGGGACAACCTGACCCCCACCCAATTGCCTATGGAGAATTCTCCATCCTCCAGATCCTGGTTGTCCCAAAGGGACTTTTCCAAGAGTCAACTGGACTGTCTTGTTTTTTTCTTTGAAGACCTTTCGCTTCTCATCCCAGAAGCTTCCTCAGGTTCTGACTGGATGGTGGGGAAGGGAAGGATTTATACTCCTTGCAGATGGCTGGTCCTTTGCCTTCTTTTGGAGAGTCCTTGAGGCCACTTGGAGGTTGACCTGTGTCTGTCTAAAAGAAGGCAAAGGACCAGCTGTCTGCAAGGAGCATAAATCCTTCCATTCTCCACCATCCAGTCAGAACTGAAGAAGCTTCTTGGATGAGAAGCGAAACGTCTTCAAAGAGAAAACAAGAAAGTCCAGTTGCCTCCTGAAAAAGCACCATTGGGACCCCCCACCCCAATTGCAAAGAGCAAAGGTCAACTGAACAACTGACTTGGGGGAGCGGGATCTTCAGATCCTCTCCTCCCCAAAGAGGTAGGAAAAACTCAAAATTCAGACTTTGGGACACTAGCGTATCCCTGAACCGTCTCCTGTAGCCCTCCGGGAGGTCAAGGCATCAGGCTGTAGCCCCCAGCTTTGACCACCTGTTCCTTTCTCACGTTCTGCCTTCAGGTCCGAGATGATGGGGCCCATTGGGCTGTCATGATGAGAAAGAACCTCAGCTAAACTCCCTTAAATTCCAAAAAGAAACGATCGGCTGCTTGGGGAAGCGAAAGTAAATGCTGTATCTCCTCGAGATGCTGCCTCAAGGTCACCCAGCTGGAAAAAGCAGGGGGGCCGCACCCCAAACTGGGCTTGGACTGAACCTTAGGAAAGCATCTTTCCTGAACCCGATTGGTTACACTGGGATGGGCAACGGGAGACCGTTAAGGGAGGAAAGAATAGAACTCAGGGATTTTGGTGCGCGATTCTCAGTTCTGGCTTTCCACTACTACGATACGCTGGATCCCTAATAAGTTCTACCTTTCTCAACGAATGGAGGCTAGAGGTTTGAGTTGTGGCAGGCCTGACAGAAACAAAGACACTCACCCAGGATTTTGTAAAATGATTCCTTTAGTTTCACCATCATCAAGTCAGCCGCTGGGCACAACTGGAAGGCAAGGGATCCAGAAAAGGAGACATGACTGGACAAGAACAGCAGGTTCCTGGGATCAAATGGGGCTTGAGACAGATCTTCACTGGGGGGGGGCAGGTGGGGACCCTAGGGGTGGCAAATCCCACCCTGTAGACAGCCGTGCAGACTCATTTCTCTGCCCATGTTCAACCTCCGTGCATGCCACCACACCGGCCAGCACTTTAAGCCAGCATTGGAAGGCGATGTGCACTCACATGTCTTCTAAAACTCATTGAGGTCCCCCCAATATTTTTGGAGCCCGGGAACGTGGCTGCAGCTGGACCCCAGAGAGGCGGGGAGAGGATGCAACCTCTGATGTATTAGTACGGCTTTATAAAGCCTTAGTAAGGCCACCCCTGGAATCCTGCATCCAGTTTTGGTCACCACACACTACCCCCCCCCCCCCAAAAAAAAGATGTTGAGACTTTGGAAAAAAGGGAAGAGAAAAGCAACCAGGATGATTAAAGGCCTGGAGAGTAAAATATATGAAGTTGCAGGATTTGGATATGGCTAGTTCTCGAGAAAAGAAGGACTATATTGACGATAGCAATCTTCCAGTATTTGAGGAGCTGCTACAAAGAAGAGGGGGGTCAACTTATTTTCCAAAGCACCAGAGGGCAAGAAAAGAAACAGTGGATGGAAACTCATCAAGGAGAGAAGCAAGAAGAAGCTAAACAGTCACTTGTCTGAGATAGTACAGGTTCTCCTGCTTGAACGGAGGGCTAGACTAGAAGACCTCCAAGGTCCCTTCTAGTTCTACTTTACTCTACTCTACTCTACTCTACTCTACTCTACTCTACTCTACTCTGTACTCTACTCTAGTCTACTCTACTCTACTCTACTCTATTCTATTCTCTACTCTACTCTACTCTACTCTACTCTATTCTATTCTATTCTATTCTATTCTATTCTATTCTTCATTATTCTATTCTTCATTATTCTATTCTTCATTATTCTATTCTATTCTATTCTATTCTATTCTTTATTATTTATTCTATTCTATTCTTTATTATTTATTCTATTCTATTCTTCATTATTCTATTCTATTCTTCATTATTCTATTTGATTCGATTTGATTCCTGTATTACACACAGAAAACAACAAAGTAAACTCAATTCAATCAACTCAATCAGAATAGAATTGGAAGGGACCTTGGAGGTCTTCTAGTCCAAACCCCTGCTCAAGCAGGAGACCCTAGACCACTTCAGACAAATGGCTGTCCAGCCTCTTCTTTAAAACTTCCATTGATGGAGCACCCACAACTTCTGGAGGAAAGTCATTTCACTAATTAATTGTTCTGACTGTCAGGAAGTTTCTCCTTAGTTCCAGGTTGCTTCTCTCCCTGATTAGTTTTCATCTGTTGCTTCTTGTCCTGCCTTCAGGCGTGTTGGAGAATAGCTTGACTCCCTCTTCTTTGGGGCAGCCCCTGAGATACTGGAAGACTCCTAGTTTTCCCTCCTAGTCCTTCTTTTCTCTAGACTGGCCATACCCAATCTCTGCAACTGTTCTTCGTATATTTTAGTCTCCAGTCCCCTGATCATCCTAGTTGCTCTTCTCTGCACTTTTCCCAAAGTTTCAACAACTTTTTTGTAATGTGGTGGCCAAAACTGGATGCAGCATTCCAGGCGTGGCCTTACTAAGGTTTTATCAAGCGTTACCAAAGTAGTTAGCTTGAGCTCTGCAAGCAAGGGTCTATTTCTACGTGCCTGGAATTACTAAATGGGATCTGAAATGTGTCCCTTCTGCCCAACCTATGGGATAAGGTGGACTCACGGGGAGCAAAGAGGTCCCTGGCCTCCACCCCATCCTTCCAGGTCCGTGATTCTACCATCATAAAGCCCCCAGACTTACCACACCCGGCAAGACTTTCCCGAGTGTAGAATCCAAAAACTTATTCACGATTTTGGGAAGCATGCTGAAAGAGAAGATGAGAAATGGAAGGAATTATAAAGTACAAGTAATCCTTCACCACAATTCAGCCCAACATTTATGAATTTCTGGTCCTGTCTTCTGATGCTTTGAAACATAAGCGGACCCCCTCTTCTTTGGGGCAGCCCCTGAGATACTGGAACACGGCTATCCTGTCCCCCCTCGTCCTTCTCTTCATTAAACTAGACATCCCCAATTCCAGCAACTGTTCTTCATATGTTTTAGCCTCCAGTCTCCTGATCATCTTTGTTGCTCTTCTCTGCACTCTTTCTAGAGTCTCAACATCTTTTTTTTTTTTTTACATTATGGTGACCAAAACTGGATGCAGGATTCCAGGTGTGGCCTTACTAAGGCTTTATCAAGTGGTACTAATACTTCACGTGATTTTGATTCTATGCCTGTGTTTATACAGCCAAGGATTGTATTAATAGAATAGAATAGAGTGGAATGGAATGGAATGGAATGGAATGGAATGGGATGGGATGGGATGGGATGGGATGGGATGGGATGGGATGGGATGGGATGGAAGGGGACGGAACGGAACGGAACGGAACAGGACAGGACAGGACAGGACAGGACAGGACAGGACAGGACAGGATAGGATAGGATAGGATAGGATGGGACAGGATGGGACGGGACGAGATGGGATGGGATGGGATGGGATGAGATAGGATAGAATGGAATGGAATGGAATGGGATGGGATGGGATGGGATGGGATGGGATTGGATGGAATAGAATAGAATAGAATAGAATAGAATAAAATAGAATAGAATAGAATAGAATAGAATAGAATAATAACTTTATTGTCACTTTGAATGTACACTAATCAGCATACATTAAAACGAAATTTTGTTGCATACAGCTCTCAAAGGGTTACCACCTCCAAAATACACTACATAAATAAATAAATAAATAAATAAATAAATAAATAAATAAATAAATAAATAAATAAATGCAGAATTATGCATATACCCACATATATTATATGACACAGAGAAACAACATCGTCTAGTTCTGGTTATGTATACTTGTGCGCGGCGAGCCAAAAGGACTCGGGCTGCAAGGTCCTTCTTATAGAGTCAGGAACCGCCTATTATTCTATTCCTCTGCCTCTGGTTTTTCTTGCCTAAATGTAGAACCTTGTTTTTCTCACCGCAGCATGTCAGTTTGCTAGAGAGGGCCCCGTGTTCGAGTCTGACACGCCTTGTGGGTTCTCACCTGCTGGGAAGGTTGGTTTTACAGGACTTCAACACCACCTTACATTCCGTGACCTTCAAAATCAGTTCACCATTGGGCAACCATGAAATCTGGGCAGCCAAGATAAGTTTGGCACTGATGGTGATCGTCATATATCCGCCAATAAAGCTGGAAAAAAAAGAAAGAAACAAAGAAAGAAAAGGGGTTATGTTGGGACCAGATTTGCTGGAACAACTGCACCCATAGCAGGCCCCACAAGACAATGTATAGGGAGATTCTCCATCATCCAGCTCAAGGTTGTCCCAAAGAGGCCTTTTTCCATAAGGCAGCTGAACTTTCATGGGATTTGGGTTTTTTGTTTTGTTTTTTGAAAATATTTCACTTGTCATCCAAGGGGAATGGAAGGATTTACATTCTTGGCAGCCATCTGGTTATTAGTACTCTCTCTGAGAATCGCTGAAGCCCCTTGGAGGTTGATCTGTATCCTCTATCCAAGTGGCCTCAACGACTCCCAGAACGAGTGCTAATGATCAGATGACTGCAAAGAAGAAGAACAAATCTTTCCATTCCCCACCAGTCAGTTAGAGCTGAAGAAGCTTCTTGGATGAGAAGCGAAACCTTTTCAAAGAGAAAACAAAACAAAACAAGGAAGTCCAGGTACTTTTTGGAAAACGCACCTTTGGGCTATCCACAAGACAACGCGGAGTAGATGGCTTTGGTTTCCATTCTAAACTCATTCTTTTCTAAATTCAGTGGTAGTGACAAAGCCAAAGGACTCAATCTACCAATCTCCAATTCACCATCAGGCTTTCCCGTTAATAATAATAATAATAATAGTTGGAAGGGACCTTGGAGGTCTCCTAGTCCATCCCCTGCCTGTGCCAGGTGTCCTTAAACCATCCCAGATATATGCCTGTCTATTCTTTTCTTGAAAACGTCCAGTGATGGAGCACACAACAAGACGTTCCACTAATTAATCCTCACTGTCAGGAAATTTCTCCTTAGTTCCAGGTTGCTTCTCTCCTTGATTAGTTTCCATCTGTTGCATCTTGTCCGGGCTTCAGGTGCTTTGGAGAAAAAGTTGGACACCCCCCCCCCTCCTGTCTGTGTCAGTCCCTCAAATGTTGGAAGACTGCTATCCTAGTCGTTCTCTTCATTAGGCTAGACATACCTAGTTCCTGCAAACAGAACAACAGAGTTGGAAGGAATCGTGAAGTTCTTCTAGTCCAAATTCCTTGTCCAATCTCTTCTTAACAGCCTCCAGTGATGGAGGGCCCACAACTTCTGGAGGGAAGCTGTTCCACTAGTTAATTGTTCTCACTGTCAGGAAGTTTCTCCATAATTCCAGGTTGCTTCTCTCCTTGGTTAGTTTCCATCTGTTGAGTCTTGCCCTGCCTTCAGGTGCTTTGGAGAAAGGGTTGACCCCCTCATCTTTGTAGGAACCCCTCAAAAATTGGAATGGGGCTATCATGTCACCCCTGGTCCTTCTTTTTATTAGACTAGACCTATCCAATGGATTTTCTGGTCCACCCAATGGATCTTCCACATCCATGACCAAAACTGGGCTCTCACTCACCTTTTGCCAGCAACTGCGATGATCACATGTACCTCTGTGGTGATTGTGTCCTTTCCTATTAAGGTTATGATAATCTCGGGTATCAGCAGGGTATTAATTGTCAACCTACGAGAGTAAGGAAGAGAGCGTGAAGAATAGCAGAGGAACGCATGCTTTGCTGATGGGGACAATTAGATGAAGGCGAATCAACTTAAATCAGTGGTTCTCAACCTTTTTAATGCCGCGACCCCAACCGGTCGTAAGTCGAGGACTAAACCGGTCGTAAGTCGAGGACTAAACCAGTCGTAAGTCGAGGACTAAACCGGTCGTAAGTCGAGGACTACCCAACCAGTTGTAAGTTGAGGACTTTCCCTGCCCGGGAGCGCCGCGCATGCGTGGTTCTGCCCCCTGCGCCAGCAGAGGCGTAGTTGGCAAGCAGCAGAGACGGAGCAGGCCGACCACCAGCTGGCCCAGCCCAAGGGAGGTAAGGCACCCGCCGGAAAAGCGTAAAAAAAATGGCGGACAGCCTTGCTTGGCGACCCCCATGAAATGGTCGATCGACCCCAAATGGGGTCCCGACCCACAGGTTGAGAACCACTGACTTAAATCATTCATGGCGAACCTTTTAAAGGCCGAGTGCCCAAACTGCAACCCAAAACCCACTTATTTATCACCGGGTGCCGGGTGGGCATAGCCCACTGGGTGGGCGTGGCAGTGGTGGTAATGGCAGACTGGGTGGGTGTGGCCAAGGTGGGCATGGTCACCTCGATGTTGCTCATGTGGAGGGACGCCTGTGGGGGCCGGGCAGGGTTGGGGGGAGATCCAGGGGGTCTCTGGCAGGTGGGGCGGTGGGCAGGAGGCTCGTCCTGCAGGGTGAGGCGAGGCGAGGCGAGGCAGGGCGGGGGTGCCATTGTCACAGGGAAAGGTGAGGCAGGGGCCAGGGCGGCCACTGCCTAATACCATCAGCCCCTGCACACAGAGGCCAGCGAGCGCATGGGTGCTGGGATGCATCCGGCCACGTGGGACCTCGGCGAGTTAACGGGCGGCTGGTTGAAGAGGGACGGTTGCCATCTCCGGGGCATGGCATGCGTGCCCACAGAGAGGGCTCTGAGTGCCACCTCTGGCACGCGTGCCATAGGTTCGCCACCACTGGCTTAAATGCTTACAAATGAATGTAACTCGGAGTTGTGTATAAGTTCTCAGGGGAATCACAGACCCAAAGGAATCTATCTTTGGGTTCTCTGCACTGAATTCCAGTCCTGCTCCCATTGCTGACTTTCTAATCAAACGATGCTCAGCAGAATGATAGCCCGCTTGTTCCCGCCTGTCCCTTGAGGTGGCCACGGATTGGATTCCTTTGTGGATGGACTCTCATCTATGGGAATATCAGAGTTGGAAGGGACCTTGGAGGTCTTTTTAGTCCAACCCTCTGAGCTTTAGGGCAAGGTCTGAGATGGGATAGCCAGAAGTAGTTTGGGCTTGATGTCAACTCAATGGTTCCTGGAGGTTATAAGGAATACAGAATACCAGAGGTGGAAGGGACCTTGAAGGTCTTCTACTCCAACCTTCTGCTCAAGCAGGAGACCCTAAAGCATGCTGGACCAACGGCTGTCCAAGACAAGATTAAGTCCAAGATTAAGCCTTGTCTATGGAGACTCTCCATCATTGAGGTTAAGGTTGACCCCGAAGGTGCTTTCTTTACAAGAGGCAGCAAATTTTAGAGTATTGTTATTATTCATAGTTTATTTTAATGGAATTTTTGTTAGTTTTAATTATATTATATTATTATGATTTTTAATATTAGTATTGTGTTGTTTAATACTTAGGTTATGAATAGGTTTATTATTGTGTTTAATTTTAATTTGTTTAAATTTATGTTAAAGGGGAGTTAAAGCGTATTTTGGATTTGGTTATTTTAATAGTTGGTTAATAGCCTGGCGTAGTTTTGATTGGGTTTTGTTAGGGGTTTTATATTTTAGAGCAGGCTTTTATGTAATATTTACTGTGATTTTTATTATTGCCTGTTCACCGCCCTGAGTCCCGTAAGGGAGATAGGGCGGTATATAAATTTNATAATAATAATAATAATAATAATAATAATAATAATAATAATAATAATAATAATAATAATGTTAGATTGATTTTGATTATTATATTTGTAACCCTGTGTTCAGCTCTGGGAAGTGGGGGAGGGGGAGGGAGGGGTTTTGGGGTGGGTATGGGGGTTTATACTGTAATTTTCATAAAACTTTTAATAATAATAATAAAAAAGAGGCAGCAGGACTTCTTCCTTTGTTGTTTTTCCTTGAGGACATTTCACCTCTCATCCAAGAAGCTTCTTCAGTTCAAAACTGAAGAACTGAACTGAAGAAGTCTGTGGAGATTCTGTGTCCTCCGGGTCACGGATGTCCCAAAGGTGCTTTTTCTCGACTTTCTGGTTTTCTTTTTGAAGATGTTTCACCTCATCCAAGGCTGAAGAAGCTTCTTGGACGAGAAGAGAAACGTCTTCAAAGGAAAACAAGAAAGTCCAGTTGCCTCCTGAAAAAGCACCTGTGGGTGAGCTGAAGTAACTTCTCGGAGGAGAAACAAAACGATTTCAAGGAAAAACAAAGACAGTCCAGCCGCCGCTTGAAAACAAAACCACCTTTGGGCCCTTCCTATTCTTCATTATTTCTGCATTATTTCCTAGAACGGCATTCTGAATAGGAACTAGGCCAGGGTTAGGCAACCTTGGCTCTTTGCTGACTCATGGACTTCAACTCCCAGAATTCCTGAGCCAGAATGGCGAAACTATGGCCCCTTCATGACTTGTGGACTTCAATTCCCAGAATTCCTGAGCCAGCATGGGGAAACTTTGGCCCCTTCATGACTTGTGGACTTCAACTCCCAGAATTCCTGAGCCAGCATGGCGGAACTATGGCCCCCTCATGACTTGTGGACTTCAACTCCCAGAATTCCTCACCCAGCATGGGGGAACTATGGCCCCTTCATGCCTTGTGGACTTCAACTCCCAGAATTCCTCAGCCAGCATGGGGGAACTATGGTCCCTTCATGACTTGTGGACGTCAACTCCCAGAATTCCTGAGCCAGCATAGGGGAAAATTTGGCCCCCTCATGACTGGTGGACTCCAACTCCCAGAATTCCTGAGCCAGCATGAGGGAACTATGGCCCCCTCATGGCTTGTGGACTTCAACTCCCACAATTCCTGAGCCAGCATGGGGGAACTATGGCCCCCCTCATGACTCGTGGACTTCAACTCCCAGAATTCCTGAGCCAGCGTGGGGGAACTTTGGCCCCCTCATGACTCGTGGACTTCAACTCCCAGAATTCCTGAGCCA